TATCATGAATTATGCAGAGCTAAAAACTGGTAACCTTTTTTCAAGTCTAAGTGTCCGGATTACAGAGGCGACAGTAAATCGGCTTAGATTAGGCTGAACCCTCTGTCCAGCCTCTCTCATCGTCAAACCATGGTTGATAACATTTCATTTCATTAGAGAGTATTCTTCTTTGTCCACGTCCTCTCCCTCCAGCTCTACCTATACCTCTCATTCTTCCTCCTCTCACTCTCACCCCACCTCTTCCTCCTCCTCTTCCTCTTCCTCTTCCTCTTGCTCTGGCTCTTGCTTCCATGTTGGCTTCCATTGTTGCTGTAAGAAAGTACTCACCTGTGGTCTTTTTATAGTGATAACATCCTGATTGATGAGCCAACAATTATGCTATCAGGTGTTTGGTCAGGTGGAACGTGTGTCTTGATTATGGGTCCATGTGTGAGGCATTTTGAATATCAGTGTTTTAAACCTGCTAACACGTGACTTTATGTCAGATTCCTGTGTCTTACGTGGAGAAACGTGTGCAGTGGTTTGCAAAAAGTGCCATGTTGATTTGCAAGTTGTGTGAAAAGCTGAAAACGTGTTTAGAGTTTTGGAGATTTGAGCCGATGTTTTGCTCTTTGAGTGTCAGTTAAAATAATTGAGCTTTATGTAACATTTTAGTGTGTTAGCAATCGAGAAAAACTGTAAAATATCCCACCATGTGTTTGAGGATGAAAGAGACGGGGATGAAGAAATATCAGATAAATAGAAAAAGCCTTGTGTGATAGCTCGACCTATCTCACATAAAAGGCCTCTAATATTAGCAGAGGGGTGTGTGTGTGTGTGTGTGTGTGTGTGTGTGTGTGTGTGTGTGTGTGTGTGTGTGTGTGTGTGTGTGTGTGTGTGTGTGTGTGTGTGTGTGTGTGTGTGTGTGTGTGTGTGTGTGTGTGTGTGTGTGTGTGTGTGTGTGTGTGTGTGTGTGTGCTTCAAAAACCAGATTGAAACTTACAAACTGATGAAATGTCTGCGGTGCTCTCAGGTCCCTGCAAGTTATACATTACTGGCATCCTGAAATGTCATCAAAGAAGCTATTTTTTTTATTGTAAAAATAGAGAGTTTGTATTATATGACAAATATAAATTGAATATTCTACAGAGGTAGAAACAAACTAAATCAAGCTCCTTGATACTGACGGGGCTGGAGAAAGAGAAGACATTACCAAAAAAGGAATTTCTTTTAACCATAAATATTTATCAACCCTTGAAATTGGCTGGACCGTGGATGCCCGAAGTAAATGATACACATCATTTCCACTGCATCAAACATTCAGTATCCCCCAGGGATGAAAATGTTGTTTAGAATAAAGTGACCAGTCGGAGAAACGTTGCATTGACTCATATCAACACCTCCGTATGTTGGATCAAATGTGACACTGTTGCAAAAAGAGGATATTCTTAGCCTTCCAATGATATCGTTATTGTTTTTGTTCTTAAAATATTCAGCAAAATATGTCACAAAATGCAATGACTGTTACCAAGACAAGATGTTGAGAAAAAGGCCTTAAACGTTTGCTGACAATTTTGTATAGGAGGATCCAGGCTTAATAATAGTTTTGTAATGCCTCAGTAGTTAAGTTGCTCTGCTCGCCACTCGTTAATGTTGTATTAATCATCTGAATTTGGCAATAATATTTTTATATTCTAAAAGCAAAGTAGTTTTAATAATTTTTTTATTTTAAGGTTAAATGGAAACCGAGACCCTGCCGTTTTAATTAGAGCCTGTCATCCATTATTTCAGGGAGGCGTTTGGATCAAGGTGATCAGACTGAGAGGAGAAGGTGAACTCTGAAGGTGACACCTTGTCTTTTACAGCTTCAAACAAGCAATCATCGTCTGATGATTGTGATCCGACTGATTCCGATAAAGCGGAACTCTTTGTGCCAATCACACGCAACGACTTCCCAAGAAAATGGCAGCTTCAGTAATTTGCTCAATAAAAACATATGTTTATCTTCAAATCGCTAACATTGTTATTGTTGTTCCTGTACCTTTCCAAAGCCATATCAGAATACTTTTTTGCAGATGACTGTTACCAAATTCTCTTCACCAAAGTTAGGGTTAGGGTTTTCCTTCTGTGATGTCCATTTCATAAACTCGATGAGACTGGCTCTGAACTGCTCCCTCCTCCAACCTCTTTGACATTTTTCTCATAAAGCAATGAGAGCTGCTAATAACTTAATTCAGATCCCATTAAGATTTAATCAAGGCTGGCGGAAGAGAATATTTGACAAAAGAACTGTCCAGAAAACTGTGCAGAAAACTTTTATCCGTCTATTTCAGGCCTTTCACCCTTAATTAAGATCCTATTAGCAAAGGACAAATTCTAAAATCCTCAAGCTGAATTTATATCAAAGGTGGGGTAGGTAAGTTTGAGAAACCGGCTCGAGATACACTTTTTGTTATATTCCATGGAATGCTCTTAACATCCCGATAGCAATGAATATCTTAAGTGCTTTGACAAAAGATCCATAAAAAAATTTCATCTGTGGAAGCAGTAGTACTGTAAAAAGCACGACCAATACAATGATTGGATGGCCTACCTGCCTGTCAGCTTTCCATCTGTGCACAAACTTATCTCGTGCCCTCATTGGTCATGTGCGCGTTCGTGCGTGTTGGAGGAGGGGCTCGGTAAGGAAGTAGCAGATTTCTTCCGGCTGTGTATTTTCAAATTCTAGCGATCTCGAGCTGGTTTCTCCAAAATTACCTACCCCACCTTTAAGTAAAGCTTTGTTCTTGCTCATGTTCTTTAAACATATGAGAAAATGAATCGCAGTTAAACGGACAAAATGTTAGCTTTTTTAATGAAACACCAAATGCACAATTTTAATTACACATGTCCTCAGTCAACAAAGTGCAAAACTGATAAAGAGAGAGGTAGATGAAAGTAAAGCGAGAAGGAGAGATGAAAGACACGGTCACAGTTTATGGCATAGAGATGTTCTAAGGTACAAAGCGACGTTATCCAATGACATAAATAGGACAGTCTCAACACAATTTGATGCCTTAAGTGTCGCACTGCTTCACTTTTGCTGCGGGGGGTGTGATTAGCAGCTTGATGTCACAGCAGTTCATGCTATTCACCACCTCTGTCCTGCAAACAACTGGAAGCAGCCTGAGGGCAGATGGTGTTGTCCGTGTACATGCATCTGTGTGTGTGTGTGTGTGTGTGTGTGTGTGTGTGTGTGTGTGTGTGTGTGTGTGTGTGTGTGTGTGTGTGTGTGTGTGTGTGTGTGTTTGTTTTATTTCGTTAACCTTTAAAGCTAATACTTCACCCTGTGTCAGTCCTTTACTCAACAAGGCATTTACCGGTGTAACAGGCAGCGAATCCAGCGAGCCGACCACTATCCTGTTATCAATTCCTAAAACTGTTATACAGATATTCATGGTACAGCCAGTTTGATATATAACATTTAAAGGTCAGCTCCATTAAATTGAAACCATGTTTGACTAACCTTTAGTGGTATCTAGACATGTTTCATTTGTCTTGGTTTTGAGATTTCTGTTTCGTGTGTCTCACATGTTTACACTGATTTACGGTTAGCAGTAACACACCTAAACACACATCAACGTGCAGGTTTTATCAAGAAAGAAAAAGACCACTGGGACACCGCGGTAACTCCCGTGGTAGATCGCATGCACCGTATATCTGATAAAGCAGAAATGGCAGAATATATCTTCAAAGAAACAGTGTGCTAGTAAATAAACGTGGATGTAAACAATGTAGGATTAAAGTAAAAAACAATCCGGTTTGCAGATTTTTAAGGCTTCAAAGAGACACAGTATTTTTTGGGGGGACTTTGTTTACAAGAAAAATCCACAGAGCTAAAGTGGCTTCTTAAATCCGCATGAAAACATGTCAACTTCTTCCTGCAAACACTACTCCACTGTTGACTGAGGAGGCAGGACAGATATCTAATTAACGACTGATTAGTTTGGGTAAAATTATCCCCAGACACAGCAGGCAGAAAAAGACTATTATGAACAGTGTCAGACTGAATGATGAGGTGAAATTGAGATGGCTAGGAAACTGATTTTGGAAATGATTAAATCCTCTGAGAACCATAACGACAATTGCATTCATCAAAATTAGAGAAACGTTATCTCAACACCAGGTCAAATTAATCCCCATGAGTAGAAACCACTTAAGGTGAAGGAGAAATTATGTTTTTTTGGTTTATTAGGGGTAACTGACCCTTAAAACTTCCTTTGAATTATGAAAACTAGCTTATTTAGCTTTGGAAATCTGTTGCATGTGTTTTCATACCCTCCTAGTTCATAAGAAAATAAAAACACTCATTATAAAGGTAGGTTTAAGATTATCTGATTAATATACTATTTCATTCAAATCGCCTGTATGACTGCACGCATGAACAACTGCTGCTAAAATACACATCATCACAGACTGCAGAAGATGATGGTGACAGTATCCTGCAAAGACGAGAAATGTCAGAATCTCCGATACAGTATATTCCTTCTTTATCATTAAGAAAGAAAGAGAAGCAAATACACTCCTTACACTGATATGTCCTGCTGGGTTATGGTCTTGAGCCAATGTTAGACACGACTGTGACTTGCAGCTCAATCATTTATGGTATGACTTGTGTGTAATGACGCACTGCTTCAATGAGATATTTTTAATGATAACTGGCTTCCCAGCCGGAGGCTATTAAAACATGGCTCTTCCCCCGGAGGCTTCTCTCCGTCACCGCTCGTTCCACCTGCCATCGTCAGCATGAGCTCGTTGGTCGAAGCATTGATCCTAAAGCCCCTGTGCTTTGGTGGTACCAGAAGAATACTGCACAATGAAAGAAGTAGTGTGCAGACCAGATCAGTTTATCCACCATACAAACAGTGGCTTTTGCAAGGGATTAACCAACACTGTCTACTGCAGAATGAATCAGAAGCTGTGTGTGTTTTACCTCCTACAGGACGGACAAATAAATGATGTTTCCCTGCTGATACTAGCCTTCAAAGGCTGGTTATAGTGGTTGTTTCATCCTCCCTGTCTTCGACTTGAAAGTAGGTTTGTGATGTTTTGCTTCTGTGCTGCCCAGAAAAACCGAGAACGTCCCTGCCCATGGTGATGATGTCGCTGTTATCAGCTGACGGACCATATATTCTCTCACCCGAATGCCTCCTCAAAGGCAGGAAACCTATTTCCACAGACTCGATTCCCAAAGGTAATGATCCTGCGTTCTCATTCACGGAGTGTCTTCTTGTGGGCAGGAAGTCCGCTCTTTCTACAGAGAGCTGTGGTATTTGGAGCTGGCACGGGAACAAGGAGCTGTCACACACGCTGGGACTGGAACGACACCAGTCTGAGATGCTGTGGTCAGATCCCACTCGGCTGTCTGAACTGTCTCCGACCCTCTGCCCGAGCCCCTGGCCTCGAGCCAAGCTCAACAGCCTTGGGATCGCAACAATGGATGCAGACGCCGCCACAGCAGCAGCGGCAATATGGCGGTGCTCAGCAGAAGTCCCTTTAGAGTCTGTGATCACCGTGGAAGGAGACGCCACCGCCGCTGAGCTGGAGAACGTGGAGGAGCCGAAGAAAGACGCCACTTTCTGGTAGTACCGCGTCCGCATCCCTTTGGCCGAGCGGTACAGATCCCCGATGAAACAGTAGCAGATGGGGTTCAGGCTGGAGTTTGTCAGGCCGAGCCACTGGGCAAACGGCCGCGTCTGCAGGAGCCAAGATGGTGGACTTTGTTCGCAGTCGATCCAAAGGTCAGCCAAGTAGAGCGGCAGCCACGACACCGCGAATAACAGCACCAGACACACCACCATCTTGGCGATCTTCTGGCGCATCTTGAGGCGTGAGGCGTGCAGAGCTTTGCTGTGAGGATCCAGATCAGCGAACGTGGATTTTCTTCCTCCCCAAAGCCGCCTGCCAGTCAGGAAGCCTATAGTGAGGTTAAATGTCACAGGCAGACAGTAGAGCATCACGAACAGCAGCACGTTGTATCTGAGGAAGAAAAGTGAAAAAACATGTAGGGAAAGCTCTTTAAAAACATAAATATTCATAAATGAAGTCTGTTCTCTCTATTTCTACTTATAATATCCATCTGTATATGTGGTAAAACACTTGAATATGCTCTTCTCTACTGTTTAGAAATGCATGATGAGTCAAGAATATTTAATAAAAAGGACAACATCCTTCCCTTGAAGTTATGGATCGCAGCTTAATTAAACTCATTAGTATTTTTGAAAGGAGCTCATTTGTTTTCATTGTTTTGTCATTGACATAACAATGAGCTCCTTTCAGAACCATGCATGTGCTTCTCTTTTCACCAACAAAATACAAGGGTCAATATGACAGTATTGTAAACAACAGCATTGTCTTGAAACTCCCATAAGGTTCAAGGGTATCTGTGGATAATCAACACTATTTCCCACAGTTGCCAGCACACAGGTGCAAAGTGAGTGGCAGACAATGAAGCTATAATGGCGTATGAAGAAAAAACTGAGTGCACACAATGGAGATGACTCATACAGGAACATTCTGACAAAAGGTCTCTAAACCTGTTTGAATTAAAATAGCACTGAAAAGCAAAGAAAATTGGTTGTGGACCCAACTGATTACATATTGACATTAAGTTACTTTAAAGGGGACCTATCATGCAAAATGCACTTTTGTACGTCTTTTATACATGAATATGTGTCCCCGGTGTTCCAGGGAACTCACCAAGTGTCAGAAAACACAACCCTCTCTATTTTCCTCCATACCCAAATCTCTAAAAAAGGGGCTGCAACGGATCTGATAAAAACTGATCCAGATTTGAACACTGTCCTGACGTCAGGACAGTGGCGCTACGGCTATTGGGCCAACTCCACCAATCAGGAGGAGACAGCCACGGCCATTGCCGTTCGAAAGCGCTGGAGACGCTGTAGTACATATGCCAGGCCTGTAGATGGTGCTGTTCTCACTGAATCAGCCCTTGCAAAAACAGTGCTACAAAAGTGCAAATTGAGCGAAATGAGGCATGGCTAAAATGCATGATGTTTGGTATTTTGAAAAAAAAAAAGTATAAATATGCCTTATATAGGTATGGTCCTACACTATATTATTAAAATATAGCATGATAGGTCCACTTTAAGTTGGAAAGACAAAAGACAACAGCCAAACTGCACGTATCACGTTTGTGATCCAAAACACTATCACAGAAAAGATCTACTTGATAAAAAAGTCTAATAGTAACCTCAAAACACCAAGGAACATATTGCTGGGAAAAAGTTGCATCTAGCTGAGTAAAGTAAAAATATCTTTGCTTTGGTTTCGATGGTATGAAGAAAAGGAATGAGAAAAAAAATGTAATGCGACAGATCACTGATTTATTTTATCGAGCAGCTCATCAGTGAGCACTCTCTTAGTGACAGCGGTCCTCAGATTCCACATGCTAAATTGGCCATTGAGAGAAAATCGCCGCCAACGGAGCTGGACACACAAGAACTGCTAATGCTTGATGGAGTAACTTTGGCCAAGTAGCATCTAATGACTCACTGTAAACTGAGTGTGTCAGGCTGCATCATGGTTTGTAAGTAGACAAAAGATCTAAAATTGGTTGGAGGCCAGAGCGGCTGAGATTAGATCACAGACTAGATTTGAGTCTATTGGAGAACCTACCCTTGTTTAAGGCGATGCTGAGGCCACTTCTCCTCACAGACCAAGATGGCAAATGTCCCGAAGCTGATCTCCCGGCGCCGGTTCATCACGGCTATAGGAGCGCACATGATCGAAGACACCGTCCACACCACGGCGACGGTTGCCAAGATTCGACGGCGGGTAAACATGGAGCGAGCTCTCAGTGGAGAGCGAACACTGTAGTAGCGATTCACGCTGATCACAGTTAGCGTTAACACACTAGCAGAGACCGAAACAGCCTGCGTGAAGGGCACCGCCCGGCAGAGCAGATCCCCGTAGACCCAGGCCTTGTAGATCTGGCTCCCCAGGGTGATGGGCATGCAGACCAGCACCACAGCCAGGTCGCACACCGCCAGGTTCACCAGGAGGCTGCGCGTGGCGCTGACGCCCGCCAGCTGCCGGCTGCGCCTGTTGGTGAGGACGCGCAGGGACATCAAATTCCCAACAAATCCCAGAATGAAAGACAGGCAGTACATGACAGTCAGAGCGATGGTGCTGGGCTCGTGCAGAGTACAGAGGAGCATGCTCTCCAGATTAGCCAAGTCCTTCAAAGAAAAGGTGGAGGACAAGGGATCATGGTCAAAAGTGGGCGTCTGTTGAGAGGATGAGAGTAAAGGGGTGAGGATTAAAGCGGGGTTGAGGAGAGAGGAGGGCAGCAGAGAGGGGAGAGGTGGATTGAGGGAGGCAGTGGGGGAATTTAAAGTGGAGGGAAGCATTATGGAGCTGTGGAAGCTGAAGGTGTGGTTGAGTACTTCCCGAGACTCATCGTACTGCAGCAGCGGAGAGAAGCTGGGCTGGACTGAGCTCCAGTGTGTGGGCTGGACCCGGGACAGATCCATGCTGCCCTGCCCGTGGAGAAAAAGGTTTGAGAGGTATGAAAATCCCTGGACTGTAAGGCTTACTGTAGTGGCTTCCCTTGGTCCTCATTCAAATCCATTCAGAGACACAGTAGAGGAGAACCAAATCCAAAAAGGCCTTATGTCAAAATAATTAAATACAGGTTCCAGTCATGTGGTACGCAGGTCCGTATGTTCTGTGAGGATAAACATATTTGTAAAAGGATGGAAATCATGGTCCCCCATCTTTTGTTGCATCCTATGAGTCAGCTGGAGTCACGATGGTGCGGCACTGGTCCCAGTGCAGTCTGCATGTAACACATGTACATTCAATCCTCCAGGGAGTGGCTGTCTGAACCAGATAATCCCTCTCCAGCTGTTAATAGACTTCTCACCTTCAAGAAAACAAAAATCCCTTTCTCTCTCTCGTCCTCCTCCTCCTCCTCCTCCTCACACCTTTAGTCCTTTACAGGTCTGCAATCAGATCTGTTTAGAGAAAACATCACATAAGTCAGAGGATGGTTTACACCCTTCAGCTGTATTAATATCTCTGTGGCAGCACAGACAACAGATAACAACACATTACTGGATCGAAAAACACTGAAAAGCTTTTAACATCTCCTCATAGTGTGTTTGCATCACAGCCTCTCCCAGTAGGTGGTAGAAAACACTCAGTAAGGGACAAAGTGAGAAAGGGAAGGATTGTATATTTTACAAGGGCACATGGTAAAGCAACTGGTTTGCAGCATTGAATTAATGTAAATTATTCATTGAATAAGCGCATCTAGCAGGATGTCACTCTGGATATTAATTCTCATTTTGCATATGGACAAAGAGAGCCCGCCAAAATAAAATTATTGCCATTAAAAGGAGGTTTAAGTACAACGTGGCAGGACAGAAACTTAAATATGTCATGCAATATTATATTTGAATTGTAAGTAAATTAAAGGGAAAGAGCTGCTTGTTCAAATTATTATCTTACCCTCAGAGAAAAGCACATCCAGTTACTGTTTACTGCTCGATCCTCTTTAAAGCTGACAGCCTGGAGATGTTGAATAAAGCAGCCAGGTGCTGCCTGGAGATCTGCACCACAAAGATTAATAAAAGTTGATGCCCGTGAATCGCTCACAGCAGCAGATACACGCGCTGCTAATAATCCGTCTCTGACTCTCACAGCTACGAGGGGTTTGTTGTTGGAAGAGCTCTTTGTGTTTCCGACAGCTTTTATTTTTCTCTAACGGGGTCCTCACATGTCTGCACTCCTGCCAACGGGATCTCCGAGCCTCCGCAGGACTGAGGACTGAGATGGGAGAGGAGTAAAGTGAGGGAGGGAGTGAGGGAGCAGCTGCCACACACACACACACACACACACACACACACACACACACACACACACACACACACACACACACACACACACACACACACACACACACATACACACACACACACACACATACACATACACACATACACAGTCGCATACACACACACACACACACACACACACACACACACACACACACATATATACACATACACCCACACACACACACACACATACACATACACACACACACACACACACACATACACATACACATACACACGCATACACATACACACACACACATACACACACAGTCGCATACACACACAGTCAGTCGCATACACACACACGCTCTGCCGCGCAGCTCCTTTGGCACTCTTTATAAACCTGTAATCAATCAAAAAAGTGTATGTCACTCCCTATTTCTTCATGTTTCCGCTACAACATATTGTAATTTACGGTTTTCTCCTTTCTTGACGATCAGAAATAAAAGGATAAGTGGATTCCCTCTCCTCTGATTGATTATAGCAGACAAATAGCTTATTAATTGGTGCTTATTTTCCTGTCTTCTCTTTCACAACAACGACAAGTTATGACAACATTGATGGAGTACATACAATATTATATCACAGTAGAAATATTCCTATCTGGTCTCAGTGAACACATCCCTTCATGAATAAATGATGCAATGATAAGGGACAGGAAGATAAAAGTATGTTTTATGTATTGACAATGATAAGTATTTACTCACTGCAGCCTATTCATCCTAACTTTGCTTGAGTACGTGCTATTTCTTCATCGTTATACCTCAACATAACATCTCAGTATAACCTGCTGTCGGGGCCCCATAGGGCAAAGATGGTGACTGGCCCCTATTGACTCACTTTCAATATGACACTTCATTATTTCCCAAGACACAGTCAGTGTCAGAGACCAGAGAACACTTACTCAATGCTGGAGTAATAGTCTTGCCCTATTTCTTTCTGTGTCTATTACTTTAAAGCAATATATTAAACCCAACTTCATTTAGGAATATATGAGCAGAATATAAAGGGAAATAATAAAGATATTAAACGTCGATTTTGACTGCAGAAATACACAGAAAAAGATGAAAAGATCAGTATTAAACATTGAAAAAAGCTTGTCCTAGTTGGTATTGTACTGAAGAATAAAATGAAAAAATGTGCATGACCCACTGATCTGGGTTCAACTTTTTATTCAAGTGTTTGACACCTTTAGATACCAAATAAATGATATATTATAACATACTATGTTTTAAAAAATACATTAAAACTACCCAACTCAATCAAACTCACTCACCCATCACCAGAACATTGAAATGCTGCAATGGTAATTAGATGAATTAGTAAAAATAAGTAAATATTTATTTATTTTATTCACTTCAGTGTATACTTCCAATTCAAACCAATGTAATTATAATATTGTATAACTTTTGTTTTTGGTACTTTCAGTTGATCTAATACTTTAGTACGTCCTCTTACGTGCTAAATAATGAATTGCAGGACTTTGATATGTGTCAGGTATTGCTTGATTATAGTGTTTCTACATTAAAGGTCACCTATTATGCAAAATCCACTTGTTCATGTCTCTTCTACATCAACATGTGTCCCCTCTGTGTAAAGAGATTCTGAAAGTTTCAGGAAGAAAGATTCTCTCTTTTTTTGTCCTGATCCATTTATATAGAAATCTGTCTGAAAATGAGGGTTAGGGGTTAGATCTGATCTGATTTTGGCCACTTTATCTTTTGGCTTGTGTAACCATTAGCCAATCACCAACCAAGCTAATCCCCCCACCTTATCACCTGAATCTCCTCCTAGAGCACCATTGTGTTCTTTTTAACCAAATATCTCTCAGAGGGGCGTGGGGAGGGGCTCCTTATTTTCATCTAAAGTAACAGACAGAGAATCAGCACTTTTGAAACAGGGCTGAAACAGAGGGGATTATGGGATGCTGCAATGATCTGTTTGGTGTTTGGAGCCAAACACTTCAGAGAGATGTTTGTATATATCTGAGACCCATAATATATTGAAAAAAACAGTATAATAGGTGACCTTTGAAATCACTGGGCTCTGCTTCAAAACTCACCTCTTTGAAACTCAACACACAGTTGGCACTCCTTATTCTCATAATAATCGAGCAAATGGATTACAAAAATAACCTCATTCAGAACCAGAAAAGTCTTTTAACAAAAGCTAGGGCTCCATTAGCTAACAATAGTCATGAGGAAACACTTCCTATCTAAAGGGCAAGCAGTACAATGTGCTTCAAAAAAGTTGAGAAATACACAAGACATTTTTGAAATGAAAAGAAGATACATTTTAACAATTTAAATGACTTATGAATAAATTACATTAATGCCTTATGTCAGTCCCAAAAACCTCTTCCACCACTGTGTCTTGAAGGCTTACGGTTACTTTTACGTATAAATAATAAAATATAGATCAGGGTGATCAAACTTTAATAACTGTAAGAGAGTTGTGTGGCGCAGTGGGTTGTGCATATGTGTTCGGATCAGGGGGTCACAGGTTCAAACCCCACTGCAGTCAGCATGTCGTTGTGTCCCTGGGCAAGACACTTCACCCCAAATTGCTCCTGTGGGGATTGCCCACAGTATTGAGTATGTAAGTCACTTTGAATAAAAGTGTCTAACATGTGACATGTAATGTAATGAGATCAACACTATGGATCACACTACAGAGTAGACACCGTACTTTATTATTTTAGCATGTACTAAAAATGATAAGGAACAAAATAACAACTCCCAAACACAATGCAGGATTTTTTCCAGGAACTGACTGAGTGCATCCGTTCCTTCGAGGTTAGACAAAGGTGAACTGTGAACTGTAAAGCCTGCTGAAGGAAACACATATGTCCGTTATACAAGTTTCAAAAGAAGTCAACAGAGGATGGAGTGAATATTTATAAAGCTGAAGATGTGCTGTGTGTTTGTATACCATATAAGACAAGATATATAACACATTGCATAATGTATGAGGATTTGTTATAAGAACCCTGGGGGGCAAAACATACATGATATGATGATATAAAACCACAAACATTCATCCTGTAATGTAAAAGATGCTTCTAATACTGAGCAGCGTTCAAACCAGACTGTGTGACACACAGTTCATGCCATTTATTGCTCGAAAATGTATTTAAATTAATCACAAAGGTAATAATAGTTGAAAAGGCCCCCAGTGTTTACCAAAACAACAACCTTGGGGGAATATTTTATAAGCTCAGATATCTTTCTGATGGCTGCAGAACAAAAGCTTTGTCCCTGGAGCAAATACAGGAAAATGCATTTTCTATTTATTAACTTGGTTCAATTGAAATGGCATGGACCTGGATCTCTGGGCTTCTTCTCTTAAGCCCAGAATTGATTAATTCATAATTCCCTTCCATATAGCGTTTTGGCCAAATCGTCGGACTTCCAATTTACATTATACATGATCAGTTTCTCCTCAGTGGACTCATTTATTTTGCCCCAGGTTGACAGGTTCTGTCATCGTCCATTAATAGCAGTGAGTTCATGGCTCCTGGCAAAACACCCAGCTCTCACATATTTAATGTGAGCTAAACAAGCAGCACGTTTTCTTTAGCATGTCTGAGCAACACAGATGGTAAATCTAACATTAAATTGTGATTTTAA